TTTTTTTTTTTTTTTTCTTTTTTTTTTTCAAACTGACTTTTAATACCTTTCTTTCAGCCGGACGGTGGATCTCTGTGAGTTCGAGGCCAGTCTGGTCTCCAAAGCAAGTTCCAGGAAAGGCGCAAAGCTACACAGAGAAACCCTGTCTCCAAAAACCAAAACCAAAAACCTTTCTTTCTCTCTCTCTTTTTTTTTTTTGGCAGAGGCAGGCGGGTCTCTGTGATTTCGAGGCCAGCCTGGTCTACAAAGCGAATTCCAGGAAAGGCACAAAGCTACACAGAGAAACTCGTTTCAAAAAACAAAAAAACCAAACATACAAAAAACAAACAAAAAAAACTACTTAAAAGGTCTTCAGAATCTGGATTTAAGCAAACCATTCAGATGATTGAGTTCCATTTCAACCATAGTTATCTTCATATATCCTTTTTGTCTATTTCTCTTGTTCAATTGACATTTAAAATTATTTAAAACAATGTAAAAGTGGGGTGTAGTGGCTGTAAAAGTGGGGTGTAGTGGCTCAGGCAGAGGCAGCTCAATCTTTGTGAGTCAGGTTTTCCCTCTGGCACTCTGCACTAACTTTTCTGTCCCTAAACAACTTCTCTGAATCTGGAATTCTTCGCCTGTAAAATCGCAATTAAGACAGTGTCCTGTGGTTAGGTTTTTTGTTGTTGTTTTGGAGACAGGGTTTCTCTGTAGCCCTGGCTGTCCTGGAACTCACTCTGTAGACCAGGCTGGCCTCGAACTCACAGATATCCACCTGCCTCTGCCTCCCAAATACTGGGCTAAAGGTGTGCGCCACCACCGCCGGGCCCCGGGGGCTAGATGAAGAGGGCAGAGAAAATGAACGCAAAATGCCTGGCACTTCACAGCAAGCTTTGTTTAAACTCGCAGACTTCAGTTGTAACGTCCCCGACGTCCACCTGCCCCTTGTTTAAAAAGATTCTGAAAAATCAAATGACGTCTTACAAGCCTGCTAAGATGCGGCTCCAGCAGAACCTAGGCGTATTTACCCAAAGAATTATCAGTTAGGGTTCAAGTTTTAAAGGTAATCGGGGCAACTTCCGCTTCTACACAGCTCCGCTCCAAAGGGGAGTTGTAGACCTATCGCGAGAGCCTAACGGGACGCGTTTGCGGCTCGGCTCCTGCTCTCGCGTTGACTGGCTGAAGGCACGGGTCGCGGTGGAAAGGGAAGCGCGAAGTATCGCGGGAGGCCGGCGGAATCTCGCGATGCTTTGGGCGCTCGCCCCTCCCCCTCCGCCAAGTGCCGTTTCGGTTTAATCTAGTGTGTGCCTGAGTCTGGGTGAGGGAGCGGGATGTGTATGTGAGGTGTCGGGGGTGAGGCGGAGGCCAGGGAAGGGGCTCCCTCGGGGGACGAGGGACAAAGGGGAAGGCGAGGCAACCTCGGCCGCGGAGCCCGGGCGACGGGAAGCCGCCCCGAGCCGGGCTACCGGATAGATAGGGCAAGGGCCCGCGCAGTCCTCCCAGGGCGCCGGAGCCGGCGTCGGCCCCTCAGGCTCGGGCGGTCGGCTTCCTACTTCCTTGCGCTCCCGGCTCGCGGGCCCGAAGATTGGCTGCGCGGGTGGGCGGCGGTGAGGAGCAGACGCGAGTCGCCCCGGGTTGTCTGGCGATTCCCCCGCTGAGGAACTCTCTCATTTCTTCCCTCGCTCCTTCACCCCCCCCCCCCCCCCACCTCATGTAGGAGGGCGCTGAGGAGGCGAGAGGGAGGAGGAGCCTGGCCTAAGGTCCCTTCCCTCCCCACCCCCGGCTAGGGCTTCTTCGGTGGGCGTGGAGTTGGGGCTGGGGGGGAGGGTGGGGCTTCCTGGAGTGCCGGGGAACTTTTCCCCCTTCTTCAGGCTCGGGGAAAGGGAATGCCCAATCCAGAGAGACATGGGGGCAAGAAGGACGGGAGCGGAGGCGCTTCTGGAACTTCGCAGCCGTCCGCGGGAGGCGGCAGCTCCAACAGCAGGGAGCGTCACCGCTTGGTGTCGAAGCACAAGCGGCACAAGTCCAAGCACTCCAAAGATGCGGGGCTGCTAACCCCCGAAGCGGCATCTTTGGGCACGGTGATCAAACCTTTGGTGGAGTATGATGACATCAGCTCTGATTCAGACACCTTCTCGGATGACATGGCCTTCAAAGTGGACCGCAGGGAGAACGATGAACGTCGCGGAACGGATCGGAGCGACCGCCTGCACAGACATCGTCACCACCAGCACCGGCGGACCCGAGACTTGCTAAAAACCAAACAGACTGAAAAGGAGAAAAACCAGGAAGTCTCCAAATCTGGATCTCTGAAGGACCGGATATCGGGAAGTTCCAAGCGTTCAATGGAGGGGAATGATGACTATGGGAAGGCACAGGTCTCCAAAAGCAGCAGCAAGGAATCCAGGTCATCCAAACTCCACAAGGAGAAGACCCGGAAAGAGCGGGAGTTAAAGTCTGGACACAAGGACCGGAGTAAGAGTCATCGGAAAAGGGAAACACCCAAAAGTTACAAAACAGTGGATAGCCCAAAACGGAGATCCAGGAGTCCCCATAGGAAATGGTCTGACAGTTCCAAGCAAGATGACAGCCCTTCAGGAGCTTCTTATGGCCAAGACTATGACCTTAGCCCCCCAAGGTCTCACACCTCTAGCAATTATGACTCCTACAAGAAGAGTCCAGGGAGTACCTCAAGAAGGCAGTCAATCAGCCCACCTTACAAAGAGCCTTCTGCTTACCAGTCCAGCACTCGGTCACCCAGTCCCTACAGTAGACGACAGAGGTCGGTGAGTCCCTATAGCCGGAGACGGTCATCGAGCTATGAAAGGAGTGGCTCTTACAGCGGGAGATCACCCAGCCCCTATGGTCGAAGGCGATCTAGCAGCCCTTTCTTGAGCAAGAGGTCTCTGAGTCGGAGTCCAATCCCCAGGTGAGCTCTTACCTGTCTTTCCTAAGGTAGGGTGGGTTGGGAGGGATTGACCATTAGTCTTTATAACATTTTGTTAAAGTTTGCAGTGTTCGTCCTTCACTAGGTTGGCTAGTCATTTAGGTAAGTCTGGCTTTCCCTTAACCCAGAATTGAGAAGTAAAGATTTCACATGCCTCCAACTGCTCAAGCAAGGTAGGTATGTACTTTTCAATAATGGGGAAACTTGAGTTGTAAGAAATCACGCCTCTGCCTAGGGAGTGCATGGTCTCCAAAACTTAGATACTTGTTGCTTTGTCTTAAAACTTTGTAAGTCATATTGGTACCAGTGCTTAAACTTTATTGGAATTCACAAGAGAATTGAGAAATTATAAATTTTTATTTCTACTATTTTGAGTCCATTTGTCTGTTATCCTACCAATTTTATCTACTGTGTCCCCAAATCTATGATTTGGGGTTATGTCTTGTAACTGTTTAGTGAAAATTGAGCTAATGAGAGTGTTTTCTTTTTGACAAAAAGTGGTTCCAAATAGTTCATTGAATTTTTTTTTGTTTGCTTTTGGTTTTTTTTTTTTTTTTTTTTTTTTTTGGTTTTTCGAGACAGGGTTTCTCTGTGTAGCTTTGCGCCTTTCCTGGAACTCACTTGGTAGACCAGGC